TCAATGCTGGCTCCTGCCAGGCATTGCTAAGATGTGCTGAGCCCTGGCGCGCCTAGCTAAACAATGATCCGATATGCTCGGTCCTGGTAAGCCCTGCTGTGCCCCGGTGCGTCCTGCCAATCCCTGCTGAAGTTAGCTTAGCTTCCTCAGCCCTGCTGAGCCCTGCTACGCCATGCAACGCCCTGCTGAGCCTTGCTAGGTACTGACAGGCCTTGCTACGACATGCGTAGCCCTGCTCAGCCGTGCTAAACCCTGCTAGCCACTGCCACGCCCAGATGTGCTCTGCTACGCATTTTTCTTGTATGCCAAGCCCTGCTCGGCTCTGTAGAGCCTTGCTAGGCCATGCTAGGCTCTGCTAGGCATTGCTACGCCCCGCAATGTTCTGATTTGCCCTGCGAGGCCCTGCGAAACTCTGCTGAGCCTTGCAAGTCCTGACAAACCTTGCTACGACATGCGTAGCCCTGCTCAACCATACTACGCTCTGCTTAGCTCTGACCGTCTGTTCTGCTAAACGCTGATCGGGTATGTCGGCCCCTGCTCGGCTCTGTAGAGCCTTGCCGTGCCAGGTGCCAGGCCCTGCGAAGGCCTGCTGAGCCTTGCTAGGTCATGAAAAGCCCTGCTGAGCTTTGCGACCCCTTGCAGAGCTTTGTGGACTTTGCTAAGCCCTAAACAACTTTGCGGAATAGTGCTAAGCACTGGGGCCAGTCTAGGCCCTGCTACATGGGCCCTGATGAGCCTCGCTAACACTTGCTCAGCCCTGCTACCCTGTGCTATGGCCTGCTCAGCTGTGGTAGACCTAAGCTCTGGCAGGCGTTGCCGAGACCTTCTTCAAGTCAGCGAAGACCTGTCATGACATGACAATCCATGCTGGGCCATGCTAATTTCTGCGAAATCCTGCTAAGTCGTGGTAAGTGCTGCTCGGCTCCCCCGCTAAGCACTGCGAAGCTCTGCGAGCACTTGCTGAGCCATCCTGACCCCCGCACCCCCGCTAGGCCATCGTTAGCGCTTGTCTTGATACGGCCTGCTATGCGGCGATGCCTATGCCCAACTTGGCCTCGCTAGGCCACACACAAAAATGCCAAGCTTGGATAATCTCTGATAGCCAATGTTCAGCCCTGCTAAGACATGCTGGCCCTTGATGAGGCTTTCAAAACCCTGCTCGCCCTGGCTAAGCACTATCAATCCCCGCTGCGCCGTACCAGTCCCTACTAGGACTTAACAAGGCTGGTTATCCATGTGTGGAGTCCATGTTAGCCAAAGGGGGAGACAGAAAGAGAGAGAGAGAGAGAGGGAGAGAGAGACCATCCCGTCCGCCACCACGTCCGCCGCCTTCCGACCGCCCCCGTCCCTTGCCCCTGCCTTCTCCCCCACCGGCTGGCCGCTCCTCCCGCTTCCTCCTCCTCCTCCTCCTCCTCCTCCTAAATGTTCTGGCGTTCTTGTCGCTCGCGGGCCGGTGTGGTTTCGCACCGGGGAGCCGCCGCCAGCTGCCTTGCCCGGGCCTGGTTGCTCCCCGGGTGCGGGGGAGTGTCCTTCCCTTCCCCCCCCCCACGAGAGAGAGAGGGAGAAAGAGAGAGAGAGAGAGAGAAAGAGAAACAAAAAAAACGAGAGAGAGAGAGAGAGAGAGAGAGAGAGAGAGAGAAAGAGAGAGAGAGAGAGAGAGAGAGAGAGAGAGAAAGAGAGAGAGGAAACGAGAGAAAGAGAGAGGGAGATAATATGAGGGTAATGATGAACAGCAATGTGCGATCTCGTAGAACTCCTCTGGAACTCGAGGGGCTCCACCATCCCCCGGCCTCTTCCCCTCCCCCTCCTCCATCCCCCAGGCCGCGTCCCTCGGCAATAAGCTGCCCCCCCCAAAAGGTGAACTGGCTGAGGGCACGCGGGCAAACTGTCCCAGGGGACAGGGCGACGAGCAGCTCAAAGAGCCCAGCGGCCCCCCCCCAGAACGCCCATTCCAACCCGCAGAGGCTACTCAGGAAACCTTCGGCGGGGTGGACGTGGCAGGGGGCACATGGAGAGGATGGGATAGGACGCCGAGGGGGAGGGGACACGCTAGGTGCGCTCGCGCCATATCTGATATAATACCCTCCCATCTTTGTTTTTAGACAAGGCTGACCCCCCCCACCAACCCCATTGTGTCATGCGGAGCTGCGTACATAGGGGGATGAAGAGGAGGAGGAGGAGGAGGAGGAGGAGGAGGAGGAGGAGGAGGAGGAGGAGGAGGAGGAGAAGGAGGGTGGGGAGGAGAAGGAACAGGAGGAAGATGAGGCGGATGAGCAGGATAGTATAGATCAGGATCAGGAAGCAGGAGAACGAGGACAAACAACCACAGCAGGAACTGGACTGGAAGGGGCGGGATGAGTAAGATGACCAGGGGAACGCGGAGGAGGGGAACAGGAGGGGGTGACCACGTTGAGGAGGAACTCGGGTCCAGAAAAATGGTCCACGCTCGGAGGGGAGGGCCAGTCTTCACGACGGGGGTAGTGCCACGATCCTAAGATGAGACTCGCGCTGCAACGGGAAGGCCACTTTGAAAGACCAAAAGCAATCGGATTCAATAGGCACTGTTCGCCAGCGTGGGCCCCAAATAATGGCTTTTTATTTTTATGCGCTCTGCAGTTTATGTGGAGCAAACGATGTAGTGCAACGTGTGTGGTACAATACGTGTGGTGCAACCATGTGGTGCAATCTAGGTTGTGCAACTTATGTGGGGCAATCTATGTGGTGCAACCTGTGTGGTACAGTGTCTGTTCTGCAATCTAGGTGGAACGATGTAGGTGGTGCAATCTATGTGGCGCAATGAATACTTGTCCGCAGTGACATTGTTCACTCCACTGCACGCGCAGTCACCCCACCCACCCACCCACCCACTCGCAATTTAGTTTGCAAATCCCATGCGGCGGCGATTGCGATGATTGCTTGGCGCTGGCTCGCGCGCGGAGCGGCCAGCTAGTCTGGCGCGACCGACGCGGCTGAGGTGGCGCTGACCGCTGGGGACTCCCCAGCGCGTCTCGCGCGCGGGCGCTTCAGTGCGCGTCGGTGACTCGGGCGGGCGCGGTATCATAGCGACGTCGGCAGCGGCAAACGCAACGATGACTGTGGCGATGCTGGTGGCGATGATGACGGTGACGACGGCAAGACCAAAGACGGCGCCGATACTGATCACGCCGATGACGATGATGGTGTCCACGTGTCGGTGATTCAGGTTTGGAAGGACCTCGGTATACGCGCGCGGCCGACGGGCGCGAGCGGCCCGCATGGTGTTCTTTGACAGGGATCGTTCCCTCCAGCAACGGCGCATAGTCGTTCGAATGATTTCGACCTGCGCGCGCGCGGGAGGCCCGCTGGGTTGCATTTTGTAATGATGTTGTGAACTTATAGTTTTCGTAAACCCCCGCGGGGACGCGCGCGCGCAGTTTTTTCGACAACTCATGTTGCAAAACCACTTTTTTGTTATGTGTTCGGGGACCTCGTTCCTGGAATTCGTAAGAAACTATTTTTTCAGGAATTCCAACATGCGCGTGCGACTACGCCCGTTGTGGTCTGAGCATTGGTTTTTGAAAAACGATTGTGCGCGCATCGAATTCTCTGCCAAGGATGAGGGAGAGGCGGGGTCGTTACCGGCTGGGCTGGGCTGGTATGACTTCGTACTCCAAACGAATGATGGGGCAACATCGGATGTAAATTGCACTATCCCAGGGGGGGCGATAAACCCTACGGGGGTGATTGTGGTGCCAATCTATGTAGTGCAATCTACGTGATGAAATCTATATTGTGCAACGCATGCGGACCACTGTAAATGGTAATATGTACCTATACATAGTACATACATGGACACACACATCATATCTATATACATATATGTACATACATAAATATACTTTTTGTGGTGCAATCTAACGGTGGCGACGAGCGGACACGGCGGCGACGGGGCGGCAACATAGCCGCCAGTCTGACGCACAGGCCCAGACGATGGCCGGCGACGAGGCGGCGACGGCGGCAACATAGCCGCATGACCGACGCACAGGCCCAGTTCATTACAACAGACTTGCCAACCCCTGAATGAAAACCCTGTTTGGGGAATCTTAAGACACAACTTTTGATATTCGGTGTGGAACAAAAAACACTGTGCGGCGAGAACCAGCTATCTTCTGGACGGAGTCGGGGGGAGAGAGGAGGCTAGTATTCATAGTGCGAACCCGTCAGCTCAAAGAAGCACGGTGAAACATGAAGTAGGAAGGCGGATCAAGTAGATTGGGTTGGGGCCTGCCCAGAGAACTAGCAACAGACAGAAACGTGTCGATTCTTGAAATAGGAAGGCGCTTGCAGTACAATAGGTTCTGGAAATCCACAAGCTTCTGGGATTCTGGGTTCAACGACTCCGTGTGCAACTGCTGGGAAGGAGGGGATGGGAGGGATTGGATAAGGGAGGCACAGAGGGAAACGGAGGACGGGAAGGGGACGGCGCTGAGAGAGGGGAGCCCCCCTTTCCCTCGACACTCTCGTCGAAATCGCACCGAGGGTAGGTAAGAGGGTGAGGGAGGAGTCGGGGAGCTCCTCTGTCTCCGTCCCTCTCCTGCTCTTCCTGCTCTTCCCTCCTTTCCCTCCTCTTGCTATTCCCTCGTCTCCCCCCTCTACTCCCAGAGGAGCAACATACCTGCACAAGCAGCAGTTTTTGGAGGTCCGCGCGGATTTCCTGTGTCGGTGCTGGACCCCATCTCCTGCGCCAAAGGTGGCACCGGAGGCGCCGACACGGGGGCCTGCGCAGATCCAAGAAACCCGTGCGGACCTCCGAAAACTAATGCATATACAACTCATTGTTCTTCGCTCTCCTTTCCACCGCCAACCTCCCAATCCTTCTCCTCCTCCTATTCCTCCTCTTCCCCTCCGCCTCCTCCTCCTCCTCCTCCTCATGCTGTCGCTCCTCCCCCAACCGCAACTTATTGATCTTCCCTCTCCTTCCTACCGCTCCTCCGGCACCCTTCCCTCTGCCCCTCCCAGGCCTGCGTGGCCACGGTGAGAGGCTGCTGTCCCTGGGCGTTAGTCTGCGCCACGCTGGCGCCCGTCTTGAGGAGGTACTCGCAGAGCTCCTAAGTTTGGTTGGTTGTGTACAGATATGTACATCTACATGTGTCTGGAAGTGTTTGCGTGTATATAAGTTTAGATATAAATATGCATGCAGTGTAAGTGTTCATATACATGTGCCATTGCAACTGTTTGGTTTGCCCTTGTAGCTGTTCTTGATCTCGCTGGTCGAAGTATCACTGTTCTTTTCGCGCCATGGATTTCCATTGTGTGCTTGAGCGCTCATTCCTAGGTAATGCGCAGTGGTTGCTGGTCTACGGAAGATTGACGGAGCGTTCTCAGTCGAGCGTGGGCAGCGTTTTCTTTGAAAACGAGGTTCACGCTCGAGCGGGTTTCGGTCCAAACGTGTGTTGTTGAATGCCTGGCTACAACAACAACCGCAACGGCTCCCGCCTCAGACTTCCTTGCGTTTTCCCAACCATCCTGTGGTGTTGGGTCTTCGTTTTGAAGAGACAGTGCCCCGCGTTCCTCTGCTCCTCCTCCTCCTCCTCCCCCTCCTCCCTTCATCATTATCGTCATCATCATGACCGTGATCATCAACATTATCAGCATCGCCGTCATCATCGTCATAATCACCATCATTGCCATCATTGTCATCATCATCATCATCACCATCATCATCATCATCATTGCCGTCAGCATCATTATCATCATCATTCTCATCGGCTGTGGTGTTGGGTCTCCTTCCCCTTCCTCCCTTCGTCGTCATTATCATCATCATCGTCATCACCGTCATCACCGTCATCATCATCATCATCATCATCATCATCATCATCATCATCATCATCATCATCATCATCATCATCATCATCATCATCATCATTATCAACATCTCCGTCATCACCGCCGTCATTGCCGTCGTCATTATCATGGCAATCAGCATCATCGTCCCCACCACCATCATCATCATCGTCGCCGTCATCATCATCATCATCATCATCATCATCATCATCATCATCATCATCATCATCATCATCATCAACATCATCATCATCATCATCATCATCTCCACCACCACCACCACTACCACCATCGTCATGAACATCATCATCACCATCACCACCATCTCCATCACCATCACCGTGAACATCACCATCATCATCGCCATCACCATCTTCTTCTTCTCCTATTGGGCCCAGGAGTCGTCACCCACCTCTGCGCTGTACTGTGCTGCGATGCCCTGCTCGTCCCGCCATCTACCCTACCCGTGCGATCACTTCCAACAAGCCCCACTCCAAGGAGATGAGCTCGGCTTCGAACGAGTTCCGCATAGTTCCCAGATAACGGCCCACTCTTCGTATGAATCAACGTTCTGACGAAGATGTGAAAATATACATTGCAATGCTGGCTGCTCCGTACGTCTGCAGGCGCACTGCTCCATCGACGCAAAGTCGGATTCTTGACAGATTAATCGTCATCACCATCACCATCATCATCGTCGTCATCATCATCATCATTATCATTTTCAGCAGGTCCAGCATCAGCATGAGCATCAGCATCAACATCATCATCACCATCAGCATCATCGTCCTCGTCATTTCAACACCATCCCAACATCATCATAATCAAGATCGTCATCAACATCATCATCATCATCATCATCATCATCATCATCATCATCATCATCATCATCATCATCATCATCATCATCATCATCATCATCATCATCGCCATCATCATTATCATCATCACCATCATCATCATCATCATCATCATCATCATCGTCATCATCATCATCATCGGCATCGCCATCGTCATCGTCATCGTCATCATCACCATCATCATCATCATCACCATCACCATCATCATCATCATCATCATCATCATCATCATCATCATCATCATCATCATCACCAACATCAGCTCCGGCATGCCTCTCGCACGGTTCGTGGCCCCAAAGGGAGCTCCACGAAAGCCCAAGAGGCAGGGTTCGCAAGGCGGCCCCGCCCCATGTCGGCGCACCCCTCACACGGTTCGTGGCCCCATAGGGAGCTTCACCAAAGGCCCCAGTGGCAGGGTTCGCATGGCTGCCCGGCCCCATTTCGGCACACCCGTCGCTCGTTTCGTGGCCCCATAGGGAGCCCGGCAGAGGGCCCACTGGCAGGGTTCGCATGCCGGCTCCACCCCATTTCGGCACACCCCTCACAGTGCACACGTGTCGTGGCACCATGGGAAGCTCAACCGAGGTCGCAATGACAAGGTTCGCACGGCGCTCCCGCCCCATGCCGGCACAGCCCTCGCACGTTTCGTGGCCCCATAGGGAGCTCCACCAAAGGCCCCAGTGGCAGGGTTCGTATGGCGGCCCGGCCCCATTTCGGCACACCCCTCGCTCGTTTCGTGGCCCCATCCCATAGGGAGCCCGGCAGAGGGCCCCACTGGCAGGGTTCGCATGCTGGCTCCGCCCCATTTCAGCACACCCCTCACACGTTGCGTGGCACCATCGGAAGCTTCACCGAAATCGCAATGACAAGGTTCGCAGGGCGCTCCCGCCCCATGCCAGCACAGCCCTCACACGCTTCGTGGCACCATCGGAAGCTCAACTGAAGTCGCAGTGACAAGATTCGCAGGGCGCTCCCGCCCCATGTCGGCAGACCCCTCACACGGTTCGTGGCCCCATAGGGAGCTCCACCAAAGGCCCCAGTGGCAGGGTTCGTATGGCGGCCCGGCCTCATCCCCTCGCACGTTTCGTGGCCCCATAGGGAGCCCGGCAGAGGGCCCCACTGGCAGGGTTCGCATGCCGGCTCCACCTCATTTCGGCACAACCCTTTCACGTGTCGTGGCACCATCAGGAGCTTAACCGAAGTCGCAGTGACAAGGTTCGCAGGGCGCTCCCACCCCATACGTTTCGTGGCCCCATAGGGAGCTCCACCAAAGGCCCCAGTGTCAGGGTTCGCATGGCGGCCCAGCCCCATTTCTGCACACACCCCGCTCGTTTCGTGGCCCCATAGGGAGCCCGGCAGAGGGCCCCACTGGCAAGGTTCGCATGCTAGCTCCGCCCCATTTCGGCACCCCCCCCACACGTTGCGTGGCACCATCGGAAGCTTCACCGAAGTCGCAATGACAAAGTTCGCAGGGCGCTCCCGCCCCATGCTGGCACAGCCCTCACACGTTTCGTGGCCCCATAAGGAGCTCCACCAACGGCCCCAGAGGCAGGGTTCGCGTGGCGGCCCAGCACCATTTCGGCACACCCTTCGCACGTTTCGTGGCACCATCGGAAGCTCCACCGACAGCGCAATGACAGGGTTCGCAGGGCGCGTCCGCCCCATTTCGGCACACCCCTCACATGTTTCTCCCGCTGGAGACTTCTTCGGAATTTACTCAGGAATCGTGCTCTCGCCTGGGACTTCCTCACCAAATCTACAGACATGTTGAAGGCGCGGCTGCAACAACAGCGGCTACCGCTCGAGAGTTCCACGCGATCTATTGAGGTCTTCCGCTCCTGCCCGAGGCTTCTTCCCGATTTGCTCATGAATCTTGCTCTCGCCTGGGACCCCGTCACAATTTACTCGGGAATCACGCTGTGCGCCTGGAGGCGCGGCGACAGCAACAGCGGCTCCCGCCTGAGACTTCCTCGCAGCTTCTCCGCTCGAGACTTCCTTGCAATTCGTGCAGATATCGCGCTCTCTCCTGGAACTTCTGCACACATGAAAATCATTGAAGGTCCAGCTGCCACAACAACGACGGCTCCCAGTGCGCTCGTTTTTTCACATCGTGGTTTGCCCCAGAGCTGGGAGAGGGAGAAACGCATGAACATCGACCCTGGCTCCTGGATCAACTGGTCGTGAGATGCTCGTTGTTGCCTTGCAGATATGCTCGTTGGTTTGTGTAGTGTTTTGTTCCCAACCATCCTGTGGTGTTGGGTCCTCGTTTTGAAGAGACAGCGCCCCGCGTCCCTCCTACTTCTCTTCCTCCTCCTCCTTCTCCTCCTCCTCCTCTCCTCCTCCTCCTCCTCCTCCTTCCTCCCTTCCCTGCTTCTGCCCTCCACATCTCTGTGTTCCGGCGCACCCTAACGCTTCGTGGCCCTGTAGGGAACTCCACCGAAGGCCCCAGCGGCAGGGTCCACATGGCGGCGCCGCCCCATTGTGGCGTACTCCTCACACGGTTCGTGGCCTCATAGGAAGCTCCACCGAAGACCCAAGTAGCAGGGTCCACATGGCGACGGTTCGTGGCCTCAAAGGGACTCCACCGCAGGCCCCAGCGGCAGGGTCCACATGGCGGCGCCGCCCCATTTTGGTGCACTCCTCACACGGTTCGTGGCCCCATCGGGAGCTCCACTGAGGGCCCAAGTAGCAGGGTCCACATGGTGGCGCTGCCTCACTTTGTCGCACCCCTCGCTCGTTTCGTGGCCCCATAGGGAGCTCCACCGAAGACCCCAGCGGCAGGGTCCGCATGGCGGCGCCGCCCCATTTTGGCGCACCCCCCGCACGTTTCGTGGCCCCACAGGGAGCTCCACTGAAGGCCCAAGTAGCAGGGTCCACATGGCTGCGCCGCTCCACTTTGGCGCGCCCAGTGCAACGGTCCGTGGCCCCATAGGGAGCTCCACCGAAGGCCCCAGCGGCAGGGTCCACATGGCGCCGCCGACTCATTTTGGCGCCCCCTTCGCACAGTTCGTGGCCCCATAGGGAGCTCCACCGAAGGCTCCAGCGGCAGGGTCCACATGGCTGTGCCCCTCCACTTTGGCGCACCCCTCACACGGTTCGTGGCCCCATGGGAGCTCCACCGAAGGCCCCAGCGGCAAGGTCCACATGGCTGCGCCGCTCCTCTTTGGCGCACCCCTCACACGTTTCGTGGCCCCATAGGGAGCTCCACTGAAGGCCCAAGTAGCAGGGTCCGCATGGCGGCGCCGCCTCATTTTGGTGCACCCCTCACACGGTTCGTGGCTTCTTTGGGAGCTCCACCGAAGGCTCCAGCGGCAGGGTCTACATGGCGGCGCCGCCTCATTTTGGCGCACCCCTCACACGGTTCGTGGCGCTATAATTAGGAAGCTTCACCGCAGGCCCCAGCGGCAGGGTCCACATGGCGCCGCCGCCCCATTTTGGCGCCCCCTTCGCCCGGTTCGTGGCCCCATACGGAGCTCCACCGCAGGCAACAGTGGCAAGGTCCACATGGCTGCGCCGCTCCACTTTGGCGCAACCCTCAGACGGTGTGCGGCCCCACAAGGAGCTCCAATGAAGGCCCCAGTAGCGGAATTTGCACTGCGGTGCCGCCTCATTTTGGCACACCCCTCACGCGGGTCGTGGCCCCATAGGGAGCTCCACCGAAAGCGGCGCCACAACTCGGTACTCACAACTGCACATGGTTGGGTCCCTCGCCAGGATAATTCCTTCCGTCGACTCGGCGTCCTTCTCTTCCGCCTTCGGCGGACGAGTGGCAACACGAAAACGAGTTTTCTGACACCCGAACGCCTCATTCCCATCGTTTCGCCAAGGGGGATCACTTCCAGCCACCGCGGGAAACAAGCTTCCCCCGGGGTCGACTCTTCGTCTGCAAACTCCTTCGTCCCTTCCTCCTTTCTCGTGCTCCGACCGGCCCTCTCCTTTCCCCCCGCTCCCCTTTCTTAATCTCCCGCTCCTGTTGCATGCGCGACCCCGGCAACATACCTGTTTTAGCCCAGATATTCGCCTACCTTTCCGTTCCTTATCTCTGCTTCCTTGTCTCGCTCTCCTCCGCGCGTGCCTCCCGATCTCATCAGCCAAGGATCGCGCCAGGGGGCGCTCTCCTAAAAAGAAGGGAGGGCTCCCAGAATGGCGTGGTGGTTCCCCCCGCTCTCCCCCTCCTGTTCCTTCGCCTCCTCCGCCAGGCATTTCCAGAGGGCGCACCGCGGTCCTTCCGACCGTAGCCAGCCGCATAGTGCAGTCCCGAGTTGCCGCTGGAGTCCACGGCGAAGGGGTTTGCACGGTTGTCCTTTCAGGAGAAGCTGCGTGAAGGGGAATGCACAAGGCGATGATGGTGGTGATGGTGATGCTGGTGATGATGATGACACCGATGCTAATGATGATGACGCTGATGTTGATGCTGCTGCTGCTGCTGCTGATGATGATGATGATGATGATGATGATGATGCAGATGATGATGATGCTGCTGCTGCTGCTTCTGATGATGATGATGATGATGATGATGATGATGATGATGATGATAACGATGGTGATGCGGGTGAAACCCATCAGCAGCATCATCAACAACATCACCATCACCATGGAGGAGGACGGGCAATAGAGGAGGCATACCTCCTGGATGTCCGAACGTGGGTGAAGCGGGCAAGGATCCCGATACCTGGCCACCAATCTGGGACCACGTACGGGAGAGGGGGGACGTGGATATCGTTTCAACATCAAGCGTGCGCCGAAACTACGGAGGGTAGCACACACACATTTTTCTTCGTCGGCGGCAAGGCAGAGTTGGCTGCACCAGCTATCGAGCTAAACGGAGACACCGAGAAGCGAATTGGCCAGCGTGCACACACAATTCAACCCAAAATATGTCACGCTGCGCTGCTGCGCTGGCGCGGTGGCGGGGCTTGCTGTAGGCTGCCGGCTAACCATATGCACGCATGCATGATCTGTATATACATATACGTACACCTAGGTAGCAAAGCTCGACCTAAACACTGTTTTCCCTTTTCATGTTGTTTTCGTTTTGCGTCGTTCTGTCTTCGTCCCGCGTTTGCCGCAAAGCGAATCAAAACGAAACCATTCCTCGAGCTCGCCAAAACACTGTTGCGGGGGCGGTCAGGAATTATCAGCGCATATTGAAATGTTGACGTTATCCTAGTGGCCTTCGGTCCAGCCACCGTGCCTGAGTTGTGGTTCTGAGGCCTCTTGTATATGTGTTGGGGCGTCGTGGGGAGCCTCTCGGGGGCCTCTTGGAGGCGGCTTGGGCGCCTCTTGGGGGCTTCTTGGGGCCTCGCGGAGTAACTATCTTTTGGGCTTCTTGGAAGCCTCTTGGGCGCGTCTTGGGCGCCTCTTGGGGCCTCTTGACGGACTCTTGGGGCTTCCTGGGGGCTACTCCGGGCCTCGGGGGCGCGAGTGTGGATTCATTAATGCGGGATCGTTGCCTCGGGAGCGCGACTGAGGCGTAATTTACGAGAGATCGTGGCCTCGGGGGCGCGACTGTGGCGTAATTTACAAGCGATCGTAGCCTCGGGGGCGCGACTGTGGAGTAATTTACGGGGGATCGTGGCCTCGGGGGCGCGACTGTGGCGTAATTTATGGGGGATCGTGGCCCCAGAGGCGAGAGTGTTACTTAATTTGCAAGGGATTGTGGCCTCAAGAGCGTGAACATGGTGCATTTTACATAGGATCGTTGCTTCAGGGACGCGAGCACAGCGTAAATTACAATGGATCTTGGCCTCGGGGGCGCGACGACAGCGTACTTTATTAAGGATTATTGCGTCGGGAGCGCGAACCTCAAGTATTTTTACGTGTCCCAGTGCCCCTCAGAAATTTGGAGCACGCGATTCGGGGGTGCTGAGAAAGGTGGTTTTCGGCTTCCCCCCCCTCGCGCGGACAGTAACAATTTACAGTAAGAAGCAGACAACAATACTGTAACATTGGAATCTGGAAGCTGGAACGGGTGCAGCAAACCTAAGCCTCGCAGCCTGATGGCCCCGCAACGTGGCTGGCGGATGTGTGTGTATATATATATATATATATACATATGTGCACACACGTTTTGTACGCACATGCGTACTTTCCGTATGCGCATCTACACATATGTATGGCTACATGTCGAGTACACAATCTATATCCAACAAGAAGTATATATACCACGATACGTATAGAAAGAGAGATCTCTCTATGTATGTATGTATGTATATATATATATATATGTTTCTATTTATAAAGCCCGCGTGCGCTCCCAGAGGGTTCTGGGCGGCGAAAGGAGAAGGCCTCGAATAACCGCTCGGGAGGGGAATGCTCCAACCATCTCCTCCTCCTCTTCCTCCTCTTCCTCTCCCTCCTCCTCCTCCTCCTCCTCCTCCTCCTCCTCCTCCTCCTCCTTCCTGCTCTCATCCTCCCCGTGGACCCTGGCAAACGGCAGCTACAAATGGCGCCAGAGGGCGGCATTGTCTTGCATATACTAATTCCACCTCCTGGGGCGCCCTCGTTCTCGCCTCGAGATTATTCTGGCCTGACGGGGCACCTGGACGTGCCTAAGGGCTGATCTTTGAGGAGGTGGGCCCAAAACGTCTCGAACTAACCACGGCTTGTGGAGGCCCATTCCGGGCGCCAGAACCAACAGAAAACAAGCTGGAACGAAAAACGGGTCCTGGGGACGGGGTCAGGAGCCACAAGGACCACGTGGCCGAATCTGGAAACCCTGAACAGAAGAAGGTTGACGCCTCGCTTTTGCCTTCCGCCGACCTGGTGCCGGCGGGCCCGCCGCCGTTTCGCTTCTGCGGGCCTTCCGCCGCCTTCCGCCGAGGGCGAGGCGCGCCGAAGGCGAGGCCCTGTCTGGAACGCCTCGCGTTGCTCAAGGCAGGTGCGGCGTCGGAGGTCTGGGTCCTCACCCTTCCTGGTCCTCGCCTTCCCTGTGCCCCATACCGTCCTCCCTCCTCACCCTCGCGCGGCTCTCCAGGAGCAGCTTCACCACCGCGATGCGGTTAGCGCCGATGGCGTAGCCGAGGGGGGTGATTCCCTTCCCGTCCTGCGGGCTCGGGCGAGGAGGACGGTCACAGGATGCTGGAAATCCCGCGAAAGGCGAGCCTCCTCTCGCCCCCAGACGCACTCCTCGTGGCTGCCGCTGGCGCCGCCTCCCGCCTCTGGCTTGAACTGCCCCCGCCTGCCTCGGAGTCGGCGTCTCTATCCCAGCAGGCCCCCATCGAGCCTCAGTGGCCCAGGGTGACGCCGACACCAGCTGCCGCCCGTCTAGCCTCTGCCAGGCCGTGCGCAGCCCCCCCCCGTCTCGGCTGCCGCCGACTGTGGCGGTCGCCGCGTACAGTAGGGGCTCGACCACAAGAAACCTTCCACAAGAAACCCAACCCTGAGACCCCAGGGTCCATTGGTTTTTGGTGTGGGAACGTCACGCTTTCCATCGCAAAACCATCGAAACCAAAGAGACCCAGGGCACCCTGGAGGCAAGCAGGGAATTTCTTGGCATGGGCCTCCACTGTAACCCGAGCAGCCCTGGCCTGACCCCGTTCGCCCTGGCTGTCGGCGATGGTTATTGCTGCCTCTATAGCTCCCCAGCGCTGCCCCCGAACTGGTGCACCGAAGCTTGGGCCCTGCGCAGCTCCGCGGCCAGCCGCGGCCTCTGGCGGCCCCCGCTGGCCCTGGCTTCCACCGCCGCTGCTCGCCGTGGAGGCCCCCTGCTGGCCGTCGCGGGCACCACCCGCCCAGCCTGCCGCCAGCGCTGGCTCCCGCCGCAAGCCGCCACGGACCTCTCCCTCGTTTTGTTTCGGTGCTGACCCTGTTGGCTCGTCCGCGTGCCGCTCGCATCACGAGCCAAGCGAAAAGAGACGTCGACGCAGATACTCCTCCAGTGGGCCCCTCCATTCGAAGAAGAAAGAGCGCCGTAAGCATAACCGCATGCCGATGATAATAAAGGGACCCCCCCCTTCAGTGTTTAGAGTTGATTATCGTCGCCCTCTACAAAATTCAAATTGGGCGGCGAGCGCTGAGGCCGAACTTCATTATCACCTCGAAACGCTATGTTGAGATAGCAACATCAAGCGATGTTGATACAACAACATAGCTTATATTTCCATTTCTTTATACATCTATTTATTTCTTTCTTTTTTCCTCTCTCTCCCCATGCCCCCCTGAACTTGTTTATCCCTGGTGTTGATTATCCATGGCAAGCGAGGCACGTTAGCTACCCTACACGAGCACTTTAAAACATCAAGTTTCAGAAAGCGTTTGTAAATTAAATCTAATAGATTTGGAACTTGTTTTTTTTGCTATTTGTCTGCCTCTTCTCTTCTCTTTCTCTTAATTCATATTTTTATTTCTTTATATATTTCTTTATTTCTTTCTTTTGTTCCTCTCTCTCCCCGCGCCCCCCCCTGAACTTGTTTATCCCTGGGGTTGATTATCCGCGGAAAGCGAGGCACATGAGCTACCCTACACGAGCACTAAAAAATGTAATTTTCATAAAGCGTTTGTAAATAATATTTTAATACATTTGAATCTTCAGATTTGTTGTTTTATCCTCCTTTCCTCTCCTCTTCTACTTCTCCTCCTCATTTCTTCTTGTCCCTTTCCTTTTTAATATTTCTTTTATGTATTTCCCTTAACTCTCTCTTTGTTGTTCTTTTTTTAATACAAGGATGTCTCAAAACGTGCTCGGCTTGGTCTCCTCTTGATCATCTCTTACTTCGAGATTATGCTGAGGTCTGCTGGGCTACTTTTATTATCTCTCCCTGAACCCCGAACTTTATTATCCCCTAGTGTTTATTCTCACGGGCATGAGGTTAAACTTTTGGCGCGGACCTCCGAGTGTTTATGTTTATGTCATTCCTCGTTCCCCTAGATACTCCTCCAGTGGACCCCTCCATGGCCCCGCTGGCCCTGACTGGAGGAACGAGAAGCGGCATGAGCATAAACTTTCGAAGGGTCGCGCGGATTTCCCGGGTCAGCGCTGGGCCCCGCTGGCGCGTGGAGCGCGCCAAGGGCGGTGCCAGCGCCGATTCCAGAAATCTGCGCGGACCTCCGAGATACGGTTTTTGGATTTTCATTTCCCGAATGATCACCCCGTGATGCACTAGCGCTGGCATGAGGTCGGGCATGTCCTCCTACAGGCGGATTTCGGAGGAAGAATAGCAAATAGTCAAAACAATACCCCAGTATGGTCAAAAATAGTGGACAAATCGTCCCTATACTATTCTTCGACCATGTTTGAATGTTCTCCCTGTGGAGGGACATGCCGGACTTTTCCGATATCATCCTGGGAATCGACGATTCACTGTGTCTGTGTGTTTTCCCCCCTCCGACCGATCACCCCGTGATGCACCAGCGCTGGCATGAGGTCGGGCATGTCCTCCTACAGGCGGATTTCGGAGGAAGAATAGCATATAGTCAAAACAATACCCCAGCATTGTCAAAAATAGCGGAAAAATCGTCCCTAGACTATTTTTCGACCATGTTTGAATGTTCTCCCTGTGGAGGGACATGCCGGACTTTTCCCATATTATCCTGGGAATCGACGACTCATTGTGTCTGTGTGTTTTCCCCCCTCCGACCGATCACCCCGTGATGCACTAGCGCTGGCATTAGGTCGGGCATGTCCTCCCACAGGCGGATTTTGGAGGAAGAATAGCAAATAGTCAAAACAATACCCCAGAATGGTCAAAAATAGTGGACACATCGTCCCTATACTATTCTTCGACCATGTTTGAATGTTCTCCCTGTGGAGGGACATGCCGGACTTTTCCGATATTATCCTGGGAATCGACGGTTCACTGTGTCTGTGTGTTTTCCCCCCTCCGACCGATCACCCCGTGATGCACTAGCGCTGGCATGAGGTCGGGCATGTCCTCCTACAGGCGGATTTCGGAGGAAGAATGGCATATGGTCAAAACAATACCCCAACATTGTCAAAAATAGTGGAAAAATCGTCCCTAGACTATTCTTCGACCATGTTTGAATGTTCTCCCTGTGGAGGGACATGCCGGACTTTTCCCATATTATCCTGGGAATCGACGAGTCATTGTGTCTGTGTGTTTTCCCCCCTACGACCGATCACCTCGTGATGCACTAGCGCTGGCATGAGGTCGGGCATGTCCTCCTGCAGGCGGATTTTGGAGGAAGAATAGCAAATAATCAAAACAATACCCCAGCATGGTCAAAAATAGCGGAAAAATCGTCCCTAGACTATTCTTCGACCATGTTTGAATGTTCTCCCTGTGGAGGGACATGCCGGACTTTTCCCATATTATCCTGGGAATCGACGACTCATTGTGTCTGTGTGTTTTCCCCCCTCCGACCGATCACCCCGTGATGCACTAGCGCTGGCATGAGGTCGGGCATGTCCTCCTGCAGGCGGATTTTGGAGGAAGAATAGCAAATAGTCAAAACAATACCCCAGCATGGTCAAAAATAGTGGACACATCGTCCCTATACTATTCTTCGACCATGTTTGAATGTTCTCCCTGTGGAGGGACATGCCGGACTTTTCCGATATTATCCTGGGAATCGACGGTTCACTGTGTCTGTGTGTCTTCCCCCCTCCGACCGATCACCCCGTGATGCACTAGCGCTGGCATGAGGTCGGGCATGTCCTCCTACAGGCGGATTTCGGAGGAAGAATGGCATATGGTCAAAACAATACCCCAACATTGTCAAAAATAGTGGAAAAATCGTCCCTAGACTATTCTTCGACCATGTTTGAATGTTCTCCCTGTGGAGGGACATGCCGGACTTTTCCCATATTATCCTGGGAATCGACGAGTCATTGTGTCTGTGTGTTTTCCCCCCTACGACCGATCACCCCGTGATGCACTAGCGCTGGCATGAGGTCGGGCATGTCCTCCTGCAGGCGGATTTTGGAGGAAGAATAGCAAATAGTCAAAACAATACCCCAGCATGGTCAAAAATAGTGGACAAATCGTCCCTAGACTATTCTTCGACCATGTTTGAATGTTCTCCCTGTGGAGGGACATGCCGGACTTTTCCCATATTATCCTGGGAATCGACGACTCATTGTGTCTGTGTGTTTTCCCCCCTCCGACCGATCACCCCGTGATGCACTAGCGCTGGCATGAGGTCGGGCATGTCCTCCTACAGGCGGATTTCGGAGGAAGAATGGCATATAGTCAAAACAATACCCCAGCATGGTCAAAAATAGTGGACAAATCGTCCCTAGACTATTCTTCGACCATGTTTGAATGTTCTCCCTGTGGAGGGACATGCCGGACTTTTCCCATATTGTCCTGGGAATCGACGACTCACTGTGTCTGTGTGTTTTCCCCCCTCCGACCGATCACCCCGTGATGCACTAGCGCTGGCATGAGGTCGGGCATGTCCTCCTACAGGCGGGATCGTCCCTCGGAGGAAGAATGGCATATGGCAGTCAAAACAATACCCCAACATTGTCAAAAATAGTGGAAAAATCGTCCCTAGACTATTCTTCGACCATGTTTGAATGTTCTCCCTGTGGAGGGACATGCCGGACTTTTCCCATATTGTCCTGGGAATCGACGACTCACTGTGTCTGTGTGTTTTCCCCCCTCCGACCGATCACCCCGTGATGCACTAGCGCTGGCATGAGGTCGGGCATGTCCTCCTACAGGCGGATTTCGGAGGAAGAATGGCATATAGTCAAAACAATACCCCAACATTGTCAAAAATAGTGGAAAAATCGTCCCTAGACTATTCTTCGACCATGTTTGAATGTTCTCCCTGTGGAGGGACATGCCGGACTTTTCCCATATTGTCCTGGGAATCGACGACTCACTGTGTCTGTGTGTTTTCCCCCCTCCGACCGATCACCCCGTGATGCACTAGCGCTGGCATGAGGTCGGGCATGTCCTCCTACAGGCGGATTTCGGAGGAAGAATGGCATATAGTCAAAACAATACCCCAACATTGTCAAAAATAGTGGAAAAATCGTCCCTAGACTATTCTTCGACCATGTTTGAATGTTCTCCCTGTGGAGGGACATGCCGGACTTTTCCCATATTGTCCTGGGAATCGACGACTCACTGTGTCTGTGTGTTTTCCCCCCTCCGACCGATCACCCCGTGATGCACTAGCGCTGGCATGAGGTCGGGCATGTCCTCCTACAGGCGGATTTCGGAGGAAGAATGGCATATAGTCAAAACAATACCCCAACATTGTCAAAAATAGTGGAAAAATCGTCCCTAGACTATTCTTCGACCATGTTTGAATGTTCTCCCTGTGGAGGGACATGCCGGACTTTTCCCATATTGTCCTGGGAATCGACGACTCACTGTGTCTGTGTGTTTTCCCCCCTCCGACCGATCACCCCGTGATGCACTAGCGCTGGCAACATGCTGATGGCTCCTGCCGGCCCTGGTCGCCGCCGGCGGCGGAGGGGCCGCGGGAACACCGCCGCCGGCCCCTCCGCTGGCCCCTGCCAAGTCCCGTGAGACCCGCCGCACCCGAGCACAGTCCCTCCTGTCCCCCAGTGAGGAGGAGGAAGAGGAGGAAGAGGAGGAGGAGGAGGAGGAGGAGGAGGAGGAGGAGGAGGAGGAGGAGGAGGAGAAGAGGAGGAGGAGGAGGAGGAGAGAGGGGAGGAGGAAGGAGGAGGAGGAGAAGAGAGGAGGAGGAGGAGGGAGGAGGAGGAGGAGGAGGAGGAGGAGGAGGAGGAGGAGGGGGAGGAGGAGGAGGAGGAGGAGGAGGAGGACGAAGAGGAGGAGGAGGAGGCCCCTGTCTGGCCGCCGCTGGGCTCCCCCTGGTCCCTCATGAAACGAGAAGTGGCTGCGTAAGCATCAACTTTTGGAGGTCCGCGCAGATTTCTTGGATCGGCGCTGGACCCGCTGGGGCCCAACGCAGATCCAAGAGATCCGCCAGAACTCCGACAGTTCATGTTTGTGCCGTCTTTTCGTATTCAAATGTAGGAGACCCTGCGTCGGAGAACTTAAAACGAACTATAACAGCAGAAGAGCAGCGCCGAACTGCCAACCTACGAACCCTCCCGCCTGCGCGTCGAGCGGCTGCTTCTTCTCCAAGAAATCCTGCACGGCCTGCCGGGCTCCATCCAGAGGCTGGCCGATTGTCCCGACCCGTGCTGAATGCACCCTCCTCCTCCTCCTCCGCCTCCTCCTCCTCCTCCTTCTACCCTCACCTCCTCGCGGTGCGAAACAATCACGGCAGTCAAGAACGGCTCGGGATGAAAAGCCGGTCCCGGGGAAGGGGTCTAGACCTCCAGGGAACTACGTTGTGAAAGAATCGTGACGTCGGAGGTCTGGGTGCTCCTAGGCTTTGAAGCTTTTCGCTGCTTCCCCCCCTCCCCGACATCTTTTCGCAGATGAGCTTTCGTGGGTTACCTGACCCTGGCCTGCACCTCCTTCCTACTCCTCCCTGCATTCTCCTTCCACTTCGGTCTTCTCCCTCGTCCCGCGACAACGCCGATCCACCCTGCCTCCCTCCTATCCCTCTCCCACTCTACTGTCTACCCATACCTGGCTCGTCTCGAGGCAACTTTCAGCATGAGGGTCGCCCGGCAACTAGATCGCGGCTGCAACTATGACGATGGAAACCAGCATGACCAGCAATTGCAGCAGAACCAATAGCACCTCAGGACAACGGTATTTGTAAGGGTGGATTGTGCAAGCAAGGTGGGTTTGTTGTGCTTCGTTTTTTGCACCCTGGATCCGAGAGAGACGCACACAGAACGGGTAGGAGGGTCATCAACTGTCTGGATGCCACTGTCAGATTATTTGGATTGTGGTTAGCGCCAAGACCTAACACCCTTGACATATTAACCAACCGAATACGTCAAAACGGGCCGCACAAACCTCGAACGGGCAAGCTGACAATCTTGCATCCAACATGGCAGATCGAGCTGCCGCGTGCTATGCTCCCGCTGAGCGCTGAAGACAGACAAGGAGGAGGGACGAGGAAGCGAAGACAGACGGGCGAAGGAAAGACGTGGGGATCCTTCAGGTCTCCGTTCTTGGCCGCCTCGTGGATGTTCAAAGGCGTCTCGTCGATCTGACGGAAGACGTGTGGGGGAGGGCTGGTCAGAGGGGTGAAGGAGGAATGGGGGCAGGGGGAGGAGGAGGGGGAGGAGGAGGAGGAGGAGGAGAAGAAGGAGGAGGAGGAGGAGGAGGGGGAGGAGGAGAAGGAGGAGGAGGAGGAGGAGCACAGCACCGACCGAAAAGGTCAACACATCAACAATTAACCCTCCTTCTACTCCTCGTCAAAGCCGTCAGACGGCCCAGCCCGCTTCCTCCTCTCAAGGACCCCGCTTCCCGATGCGCTCTGCCTCGGCGCGGGAGGGAAGTCGAAAAGGGCTCGGTCACAGACAACATCGGGCCGACCTGGGACGAGGGGGGACAGAACCTGAAGGAGGCATTTCCAGAAGACCACGCTTGGCGGCCAAAAAGTCCCTGTTAGAGTCGGACAGGGAGACCGCCGAACCGACACGCCCATCCACTCTTGATGGGTGCTCCCTGTGCCAAATCCAAGCCAACTGACGCTCACGCCCCCAGAGCGGGAACCAAAGCAATCTGACGCGAGAGCACTCCTACCCCAAGACGCTACTGGGTGGCCGGGTGCAGAAGACTAGGCTCCCGATGGAGACCACACCAGGCAGGGCCTACGATGGGCGCCTCAAAACAAGAGTGGCCGCGGGCGTGCCGGGGCCTGAAGCCAACGCGGGCGTCGGCCGACCCCTCGTCGGGAGGGGCAGCCGAGCTGCCAACGCCCGAAGGACCGCCGCCAGCGATGGGAGGGCTACTCGGGCCGTCGGCATCCTCATCCACCGTGGAGAACTCGCTGAGCTAAACGTGCTGGAGCCAAGAGATGGGGACGTGGTCGAAGGACACTCCCCAACAATGAAGACTTTTTGGCGAACAACGAAGATCGAGATCTATCTGGCCACTTCGTGGCCACCGTGGATCACGAGTCGATCTTGCTCCATACAACTGTACAGTTCAGCCCCACACCGGGCAATCTTGTCTGCCGCTCGGTTGCCGAGCCGCTGAACACGAGTGAACAACCCGTCGACGGTGTCGGCGGCGCTGCAGTGCGCTGCCTTCTCTTGACAGACATGCCGTCGAACTTGTCATGGACTTGGGCCCACCAGTGGGCCCGATGGTTGAGCGGGCTGGAAGCAGCCTGAATGTCAGAAGCGCAAGCTACAATACCGGCGCAACCAACATGCAGGCGGCAACCAGCCGCTGGCACAGCGTGGCGGGTGAGCTGTGAATGACGGCAAATTCCTCGCCGTCCCTTGCCGCCTGGAGAAGGACTTCGTCAAACGGCACCACCACCACCCAGAGTACATCGAGCATATTCCCGTCCCCATCCACTACCACGGCCGACCATCTGCCCCCCGCATGAGAGGATCGAGCCCTCGAAGGCCGATTCGTCCGTGAACACGTGGGTCTCTGGGCCCAAGAAGGGCCCATCTTGGGGCCAATTGGGCCTGTGGAATTAGCTGGAGGAGTGGAGGAGGAGGAAGAGGAGGAGAGGAGGAGGAGGAGGAGGAGGAGGAGGAAGAGGAGGAGGAGGAGGAAAAGGAGGAGGAGGAGAGGAGGAAAGAGGAGGAGGAGGAGGAGAGGAGGAGGAGGAGGAGGAGGAGGAGGAGGATGAGGAGGAGGAGGAAGAAGGAGGAGAGGAGGAGGAGGAGGAGGAGGAGAGGAGGAGGAGGAGAGGAGGATGAGGGGAGGAAGAGAAGGAAGAGGAGAGGAGGAAGAGGAGGAGGAGGAGGAGGAGGAAGAGGAGGAGGAGGAGGAAAAGGAGGAGGAGGAAAGAGGAGGAGGAGGAGGAGGAGGAGGAGAAGGAGGAGGAGGAGGAGGAGGAGGAGGAGGAGGAGCGCCCGCAGGTGGCGGGTCAAATGGCTCACAGGCCTCGCGGCCGGCGGGGCCTCTCAATAATACTTCTTGGAATTGTCGACGGTGGAACCTTGACCGGGTGTGCCGCGACCCTCGCAGCTGCGACTGCCGCGTCCGGCGGTTGGACGTGTGCACCCGGACGGTGGCGAAGAATGTTGTGAATGTGGTAGAGGCGCGCCAACCGTGCTGCAGTCTGCGGCAAGCGTCTTGGTATGCTGGTTCTTCGCCGAAGGCCAATCTGTGTAGCACAGACGAATGCGCGAATGACCACGTCGCCTGGCAGACCGCTCGCCAGGCCCTGCGACAGGTCTGGTCATGAACGATCTCATCGTTGCAGCCCTCGCAACCGAACCGGTAGGGCAAATGGCGGATGCCGACGTGCATCTGGAAGGACGTAGGCCATGCTCCTGCCAGCGTGCGGTTGTTCGCCCACAATACACCAGGGGAAGCAACCTAGAGCTGGTGTCGAAGGCGCCGCCACCGGTCCGTCAGATCTGGCGGCAGTGCGAGTTGAGGCCACCAAGTCTTGATCCTCCTGGCAATCGTGACGTGGAACACCTCGGGGTAGAGGGCGGCTGAGGCCGCCTCCCAGTGAACACGTTGAAGGTGGGGGCGCTGGTCACGGAGGGCAGCTTCCAGCAGGTCTGTCTTGGCCGCGCGGTTGGCCAACAACAGGGCTCCTTGCCTCTTGCGCCGGAGCCGTTCGGTAGGTGCCAACACCGTTCCGGAGTCGACGGCGATGAATTATTACATCATGGATTGGAGCATAGCCCAACAGTCAGAAGCCCAGCTCTCTGCGATGGCCAGCGCCGGCGCGAGGTCGTCGCAAACGCGCTCTATCCATGCTTCCGCGAACGCCCTCCAGCCCTTAAGCGTGGTGTTTCCCGTGCGCCAGGCTGCGGCCCAGGCCGAAGGTAACGGCGGAGACAAAGTCGGAGACGAGGACCAGTGCGCATGCTGAGGAGATCGGAGAGGTTGAACGACATCGGAGGCGCCTTCAAGATACTGTGCAATACGTCGATTTCCGCCTTGAACAAGGTTTCCGGAAGCGGGAGGAGTTGAGAAAAGTTCGACAGTACCGTGATTGCAGAAGAGTTGTAGAGCTTGATCACCTCGAGGGTGGCCGCGGGAGTTCTCCTGAGGATGGCCACCTGGGATCGATGCATGTTCGAGGCCCCGAGCCAGGAGTCCTCGAGGGTCGCGCCGGTTCCAGGGACAAGTCCGAGGTACTTCGCCGCGGACTCGATCGCAAAATCCCCCCATTCCAGGACCAACTCAGTCAGAGCCGCTCGGATCGAGTCTCGGGCATGAGCAAGCGGTGCCGTCGACGGCCATGGCGGGGCCAACGCGCACTTCTTCGGCTGCAGGGAGAGGCAAGCCAACCAGCTCATGGCACCAATGTGCACGGCGAGAGAACGAATGGATGCCAACTCCCAGGGCACCACCCCGAGGTCGCCAGCGCAGAGTCCGAGCTCAGCTTCGCGGCCCGGTCCAACGAGCAGCTCCTCGCGTCGCGGGCGAGCCAGTTGGGGTCGCGAGGACAGGCCGAGAGCTCCTGACATTGCCTCGACAACTGGGGCGGTAGTGAGGGCCCAGATCGTGCCCAAAAGAGGCCAGCCTTAAGCGACTCCCGTCAGCACCTGCCAGAAGTAGCATGACTTGGCGCCCAAACGGGCCCAGCAATGCTGCTCGTTGTGCAGGGCAGTGATCAAGTTGATGTATGCCGAGGGGATGCCGAACTGTTCGATGGCTGCGAAAAGCCACGGCCGCGCCAGAGACAGGAAGGCCGCCGCCACGTCGAAGGAGGCAAAGCAGGGCCGTCGGCGTCGCAACGAGTCCGCATCGCCTAGCGATGCAATCCTGTCCGTCCAATTTCCACGCGTTTGTGAGGAAATTCCGGCCACGTGCAAGTCCTCGTTGGCCGTGGGGAACATGCCGTTCGGCGATCTTGGCCAGGTAGATGATCGCGGTCGAGGCCAACAACTTGGCGTCACCGTTCTTGAGAGCCAGTGGTCGGGTCTTACCCGGTTCGCGGCGGGTGCATTCCGCCGCCGAGGGCGCCCCGTCAGCCATCGGGGCAAACTGGGGCCATGCGTGGTTGAGGCCATGGGGGGGGGGGCGCATCCCTGCATCACGGTCATCGTCATGTTATGCAAGATTGGTAATGCGCCACGTGCCCGAGACCATCTAGAATACGAGATCCCGTCCGGGCGGGGTGCTGCGGGTCGCGCGTGGCGTGCTGCTGCTTCCATGTCCCGGAGCCCTGGCACTGCTAGTTGAAGATCTGGCAACCGGGGGAAATGAAGCTGTAGATCATCGTGTATTTCAGCATTCGGGCTTTCTTTGGCCGCGAAGACGGGCTCCCAGTGCGCCCAGAGAGCCGACGCCATCCCAAGCGGGTCCGCGATTGTCGCAGGAGTGGTTGTAGACGAGGTGTCCGCTGTGGCCGAGTGCGCCGGCTGCAGTGTGCCTGCCAAGATCTGCGCGCTGTGGATGGGGCGCCATAGCTGAGCCTTTTGCCGTGTCCTCCACGCGCGGCCCTTGCAGCGGGCGCCGGCATCGTGGGCGCCTCTCTGATGAGCGGCGGCGGCGTGAAGCTGAGCGTCAGCACGCTGGCGATCAAGAACAGATGTGGCCGCCTGGCGCACGCGGGAGGCTGCGGCGTCGGGGTCGAGGAGAACAGCCGCTTCATCGCCGACCTGGAAGTGCTGGGCAGCACTCGGGGCAGTCGCGATGAGCAAGCCCAGCGTGTGTGCATCTTGCCGCCAGTAGGCGCTCGCAGCAGATCGGAGCGCCGAGAGTGCAGCGTCGGGATGCGCTTGATGAGTCGCCAGGTCTGGCTCGTGGAGAAGAAAGTTGCGGGCCAGTCTCGCCGCCTGCTAAATGTTCGCTATGCTGGGGCGCCATCGCTGGAAAACGTCGCGGTCGTGGAGCGCGGGCGCCGCCGGGGGTTTGTCGAAACACTTCGCGTGCAACGGCTCACGGAAGATCCACTCCAACATTGCCAAATTTTCTGGGCGGGGCGCGGTTGCATTACTCAGCTGTGGTTGCATGATGCTGTGGTCGCTGAGCCGGCAGTCGGAGAGCGAAGCCGGGTCAGAGATGAGCGTGGCTTTGTCGTCGACTCCAAAAATGGCGCGCGGCGGCAGGGGCGCGAATAATTTATCCAAGGTGTTGGCTCTGTGACGCTTGGCATCGTAGTGGGTAGGTTGGTTAGGGCGGATCTGCAGCATGGGCCCAGTAAGCTGATCCCAGAAACGAGGAACCGCATGATCACGCCGCGCCTCATTTTGCGGCAACCTGGACGGATCGAGATAGCTGAGGTTAGCGCCGTCGTCGTAATTGAAATCGCCTGCGTCCAAGAGAAGCCGCGCCTTCGGGCGAGCTTGCGCCCGCTGGCGCGCCGCGTGCCAGGCGACGGCAACCTTCCGCCGGTCCAGTGATATCAGGCCGTGGTCGTGGACGTTCACGAAGGCGATTGCAGGGGCGCGCCCCTCGTGGCGCCCGCGCACCTGGGGCGGAGGTGGAGAAGAGGGCCGGGCAGAGGACGACGAGGTGTAGGTGGAAGATCGCCGAGAGGAGCTCGAGGAGCGCGATGAAGTGGAGGAAGAAAAAAGAAAATAATAAGAAGGAGTCGAAGCAGATCTCGGCGGTGATGACAATCGCGAAATTGGAGAACAAGACCTGTGGAGAGCCCGATCATCTGGTGACCTGCAGTCGTCCTCGGGGGGCCGACGTAAATGACCGGCCTCCCGCGAAATGCCGCTGGAGTCGTCCGGCCGGCATTGGAGGCGGCCGCCGGCAGCAGAGTTCCTCATGTCGTGCGCGTCGTGTAAAATGGCAACCCTCCCAGATATGATGACGTCCATCCGTGCGTGCTCGCGTGTCGGCCGAGGTAGAATACCCCATGGGCATCGAGAAAGCGAGGCTGCCAGCTCGTGTCGAGTGCTCGCATTCGGAGTAGAGGACGTAAGAATCCCATGGCAGCGCCCGGAGCCAAGCACGAAATCGATCTTCATTACCGTGTGCTTCCTGAACTAGTATGATGGCGTTTGCCCTCAGATGCTGGTGTAGTGCTGATAGCTGTGTGCCTCTGTGCCTCTTGGAGGTGCACATCGGGCCGAGGGCGTTCCAGGTGGCCGCCGACAGGGGCCGTGGGGAAGGAGCCCAAGGAGCCCGCGGGCTCTGGTTAGGGCCACTGCACGTCAGCCGGGGCCTCGAAGATGCGCTTGAACTCGGCCTCAACATCCTCCTTGCAGATGGCCGCTCTGTCAGCCTCTGGGTGGTTCCATTCGATCTTGAAGGGGGTGTCGGGGACTTCGGGTGCCAGTGCTCGTGCGCCTGGAATGCGGTCCAGCTCGACTTCCCCTTTGGCTCGGTTCGGCCAGAAGGCCAGCTTAGGGTGGGGGAGTTTCAAAATTTGCTTGAGACGTTTCGTCTGCAATGCCATCCTTTGCGTTCGGGGGGGTCTGTCGGGGTTGAGGTAGAGGGGGCCGACGGCGTCAGTGACGGACGTGGCGGACAACTCCTTCCACTTGCCCGTGATGGTCTTGGGCCTTGCCGAGCTCAGTGGCCTTGTGGTTGCCCGCCGCGCCGCCCTTGACCTCGACGTGGAAGCGCCTTGCCGGAGTATCTTCATGAAGGTTGATGTCGTCCGTAGATGCTCCAGCATCTTGCGTTCACGATTGGCGTTGACAGTGAAGACATTCGGCTCCGGGGGCGGGTCCCAGATGGAGAGGTGGATCGCGTCCGTGAAGCCAACGGCCTTCTCGGCGACGAGGAATGTTTTTTCGATTTCTCTGACCTGGCCTTTGAGCTCATCCTGCTGTTGTGTTGAGTCATCCACTCGCTGGGCGCAGTGCCGAACGTCGTCCTGGACGGTCTTGAGCTTTTTGTCGTACTTCTCCGAGTGCTTGACCACCGCGGAGGCCAGCTCCTTCTGGGTGGACTTGTTGATGTCCTTGCACGCGGTTTCAAGGTAGCGTTGGCGACGATGTCGGATAAACCTTCACGGGCCCCTTTCAGGTTGGGGCTCCGTGGAAGCCTGGAGCCTGTCGGAAGCGCCCCTGGCTCCTGGCTGTCGGGCCAGAGGGGGCCGCGGGATCGGGCGCGGAGGCGCCCGGGCCAGCGGCGCGGCCAGCGGCGGTGCCCTTCCGGGGATCGGCAGCCTGAATGGGGATCAGCAGCACGGGCTCCGCCTGGGGACTTGCCGTCGCAGCCGCCGCGGCGCGCCGACTTGGGCCGCGCCGCCTGAGGAGTCGCCAGCAGGAGCGCGGCCGCCCGCAGAAGGTGGCATCGCGTGAACAGTGCTCCAACAGGAGCTCACGGATGCTCTGCTGTGCGGGGCGGACCGCGCAACGCTCTCCCAGGGGCGGACCCGGGGAAGTATTTGAGGAAGAGGAGGAAGAGGACTCGGGAGCCCTCCGATGGAATCAGGCCGAGGGGTCGGGGAGGGGAGCGCGCGAGCAAACGCCTCCTGGGCTCGACGTCCAAGCCGGCCGACGAGCCCCGCCGCGCGCGAGACCGCGGGGGAGATCTCGCCTCGGCGCCGGGCGGCTAACAGAGGGCGGTCAACGAGCTGCGGCGAGCCCCCCCGTGGAGGCGGTCGGTGCGGATATCTTCGCACTTCGCCGAGACGCGATCTGGGCATTCGTGACAGTTGGCCAGGGGCCCGCGCAAAACGTGCATGTGGTAGCTGGACCAGCCGTCGGACTCCTGCATGCTAGGGAGGCCGAGCGCGGGGCGGGACCAGATGGGGCAAATCCACTCGACAACATGCAACTGACGATCCAATTTGTCGGCCACCTTCCGCGTCCCAGCGCTCCCGCTTACAATGCAAAGCAAGCAACGACGGGCAAACAGCGCTCGAAGAACGACCGAGCGACCACTACCTGCCGACTTCACAGCTCCATCCAATCCGCCGAAGAATAAGGGGGAAGGCGGCAACCGGCTGCTTCGCCGCGCTCCAAGGGCGTTTTCTGGCGGCGACGGCAACGGCATCATCGAACGTACTCGGCAGCATTTCCCTTGAAACAGTCCTGTACACCGCGTCGAAACGAAGCATTTGACCGCCGAGGCGGTCGCGTGCACCAGGGGGTCGCTGCTCCAATGTGCACTGAACAAGAGAGTGACGCCTGGCGACGAGCCTGGCTGCAGTGGCCCCGTGCTGCGGGCCGCCGCCACGCGAAGACAGTGCAGCGACGTCGTGGAGAGGCCCCGCATGGCCGATCCCCACATCGCATTCGCGGCTGGGCCAGCGCCGAGGGCCCGACCGGCTTCCCCACCGCGGCCGATGTTGCGGAGGTGGGCGGAGGAGGATGAGCGCCGGGAATCCTCGCGCGCTGGGCGGGCAGGCAGCAGTGGTCGCCGTCGCCCGCGTCTCCGCCCAGATCGCGACGGGTGCCGGATAACAGCTCCAATCCAACAGACCACGAAGGGTCGCGCACAATGGCTTCCAACGGCTGGGTATCCGACGCCATTCAGCACGTCTGGCCAGCATTCGCGGGAATCTCAAGCTGCTGCGTGGCTTGTATGATCAGCGAGACCGCCCGCCCAAGCCGAGCCGCCACAACTCTGGCGCCGCCGACCGCGTGCAGCTTGTGCCATCGACCACGTTGACCGAGCGACCCGCGCGAGCTTGAATTGCCACTTCTTTCAAACGCAAAAATGTGAAAGCTTTCGTGGCCCTGGTGGCACAAGACTACCCTTCTGCCACCGTCCCGTCAAGGTGGATGGTTCTGAAGTGGCGGCCAACCAACAAACGCGGCGGGGCCCGTGGGGGAGGGAGTAGGGGGAGCGAAGGAGACCAGCATCTAAACCGAAGTGTCGGGCGCACTCTCTGAGCGCACCAGCTGTCCGGGAAAGTCAAGAAGACGGAACCGCTGTTCATGCCCTGCGCGCGCGCCGCCAGCAGGCTGCGCGCGCGCCGCTCGGTCCGCAGCTGCGTCCGGGCTCCTGCCCCGGAGGAAGTGCCGGTCGGTTTCCCAGCCCCACTTCTTGGCCCCCCGACGCCGGCGCCCGACGAGGCCGCGAGCCGAGCGGGCCCTGTGCGCCGAGCGGGGCCGCGCGCCAGGAGGCGGCCAGCGAAGGCGCTCCACTGTGCTGCCTTCCCAGCCGCCTGCGGTCGCCCTGCAGTCGCTCGGCAACCTTGCGGGCTCCTGCCCGCGCGTCGCCGTTGGTCGTGCCGATGACGAGCGAGTCCTTGCCAGCGGGCACGGCGAGGGGCGCCGGCTCGTCCAGCAGGGGGACTGGGCGTTGCTGCGCAGCGTCGCTATCCCCCGACATGGGGGAGGGGACCTCCCCTGCTTCCACAGTGGGGCTCAGCGCCGATTCCATCTTTGTCCCCCGACCACCTCGTAATGCAATGGCCAAGGGCTTCAGGTCCTGGAGCCGTGGCCCTCTCGAGCCCGAGCCCCGCCCGCGGCCGCCGCCCCCCCCCCCCCCCGTGGCGACGGTGCTGCCGCTTCTGCAACGACTGGGGGCCCAATTGCCACCGACGGCGGCTGCCGAGCCGAGGGGGCGCGGGCGAGGGCGGGCCCGCCAAGCTGTGTCTCCGCCGCCAGGACATCCCGCGACGAGTCCGCGCTGCACGCAAACAAGAGGCTGTCGGCGGCAGCGGCGTAATTAACGCAAAAATTCGTGTCATTTCCGTTTCTGCAGCGCTGGCTTGGCCGCCTAAGGAAGCGACCGCTCAAGCTGTCACTGCTTCCTCCCGGGATGCTCTGATCGCCCCGTGTGCTACGGCTTCGCCGAGTGCCGTTCTGCGGTAAATCCGCGCTGTAAATAAGCAAGAAACTGTCGGCGGCGTTCGAGCCCGCCCAATAGAATAAGTAACCACCATGACCACCGCCATCACAGCCATCATTATCATCATTATCATCATCATCACCATCAGCAGCACGGTCAGCATCATCATCTTTTTCACCATCACCATCACCATCGCCATCACCGCCACCATCATCATAATGCTCATCCTCATCCTCATCCTCTTCCTCTTCGGCATCAACATCACCATCGTCGCCGTCATCACCATCGTCACCGTCACCACCATCATCGCGATTATCAGTGCCATCATCAGCGTCACCATCACCACCATCATCATCTAGGTGAGGATCGTAACTCGGCGTGAAGGTCGCAGCCTGCCTGAAAAGGTCGGCCTGGGGCGAGGGCCAGTGCCCTCGTGCGCTCGAACTCCCGCTGCGCCTCGAAGTCGGACACTGAGACTGCAACCCCGGCTTGCTGAGGCCGCTGGCGCATCTCGCTGGGCTCGAAAAGAAACGCCCTCGGCGGCTGCGCCGCCTGCGGGGCTGCGCGCGCCGAGACTTCTGTCCGCGGCGGGGGCTGCGCAAGCTGCGCGGGCGCCTGCGGCTCCTGCCAGCGCGCGGGCGCTGGCGCCGGCGCCCCGTGCACCATGTGTTGCCCCACGCACTCGCGGAACAGCTGCGCCGGCTGCCGTGCCGCCGTGGCGCCGTCGGGCACGGCGGCCCTGGCCCGGGGGGGCGCCGCCTCCAGATTCGTCGCGTCAAAGCCGACCGCGCGTTGGGCTGCGCGGGGGGCCTCGCGGGCTGCTGATAGCGGCGTCGCGGCTGCTGGGATGGCCTCCCGCCTCTTGGGCCCCGCAAGCTCGGCCGTCGGCCGTCGTGTCGGTGACGGGCTTCTCGCCGTTGGCCAGGCCCGCCTGGACGTCGACCAGCTTGGTCCGCGTCGCCGTGGCGCCCGAGGAGGTCTTCAGCAGGTCGCGCTCGCGTGTCCCGATCTGGCGCAGCGCCATCCGCGTCTGCTGGCCGCGCGGCCGCGTGGGGCGGATGGGCAGCTAGAGCCCCCCCCGCTCTGCCAGGAGCGCCTCGGCGAGAGCCTCGGCCGCCGAGCCGCTGATGATCTTGGCGTGGGCCAGCTCCTGCCCGACGGCCTGCAGCCGCTTGCGAGCCGCGGCGATGTCCGACTGGCCGTCGACCTTTATCTCTTCGAAGTTGATGGCAGGCGGCCGCTCGTGCGCCGTGGTGACCTACCTCCCGGAGCAGGTGGATGAGCTTGGCCTTTTGCTGCAGCTGGGTCTGCAACTTATGCTGCAACTTTGGCTCCTCCGCATCGCGAGCCCAGGGTGCTGGCTTGCCCGAGCCTGTGCCGCGGCGAATGCTGACCGAGGGTGACTTCTCCTTCCCGCATGGGCCGGGCTCCGCAGACTTGGGCCGCTTGCACATGTAGCACTCGGACTTCTCAGCGAAGTTGAGGGAGGGCTTGCCGACAGCATGGAGGCAACTCCTGCAGTGCCACTTGGCCCGCGTCGCCGCGCAGACTGAGGGCGCGGAGCCGCGCGCAGCCTGGTCGTGCTGCGAGAGGGCCCGCAACGGCAGGGCGCAGCTCGACTGTTGCCGCTTACGTGAAAATTATTGAAGACTGGCCTCGGGTCAGAGGTCCCCGCTGGTTGCGCAAACAACGCAACATCTTGAGCCAAAAGGGCTACGGAGGAGAAAGAGGAACACGGGGAGGAGGAGGTCAAGCGTGGCAAGGAAGGGTTCATGCTCCGTCCGCCCTTCCAGCTTTGAGCATGGCCAACCGCCACGCGCAAGACATCGTCGCCAACCCCATTTACACCTTGAGAGCGGCTCAATCGATACTCCCACACCCTCACCTCGTCCCGAACCGTTTTTCTCAAATGTGCGGGCCATTTCACTCCGCTCGGGCCACTGAAAGTAGTCGCGCCTCGCCGCCGCCCACAAAGTGCCAGTGCTGTCGACCAGCAAGTTCACGTGCGAAGAAGAAGAGGGTGACTGAGAGCACCTTGAGTATGAGGTAGCCCCAGAACTGGATGTCTACTCCATTGGATATAAACGCTGGTCTGGCTTCAACTGCGAGATCTCGAGGGCCAACTCACAGGCGGTCTTCATCCTCACAGCTCGCTGGTGAGGAGAATTTGCTTGTCCAAATGTCACCCAGCCACTCTTAGCAGTCACCTTTGGGACCGAAGTCCAGAATTTGGCAGGAAGCCCATACTTCTGAGATGTGCATTTTCTTGGTCGAGAAGATCCTGGGCACTCGGCCCAAACGTGGCGAACAGAAGGCCAGTCTGCACGACAAAAGGAACACGTCATGCCCGACAGCTTCCGCGTCTCTGAGGCCACACCACCAGAAACATGTATGCAGAGCAGCTGCTGCCGGCCTCTGAAAGCTTCTTCATGAACTTCTGAAATCCGCGCCCTTCCCACACAGGCCCCCCCCACCTTGTAGTGCGTACCCATCGTGCAAGAAAGGCTGGGGCTGGCCCGCCCCCAGAGGCAGGGCCAGTCCAGCCCAAAGGGCCAGCCCCTGCGTACCCGCGGGGGGAGGCCAGCGCGCCGCCCCCAATCCTGTGCTCGGGTATCCAAGTCACCCAAGGTGACTAGAACGCACTGTCTGAGTCATCATGTCGCCTCCGCAGACACATGGGGCTCAGTCGTCCAGAGTGCGGCAGAGCAGGTGGACGGCAGCGCTGCCGAGCGCAGGCGCAAAGGGAGGCGCCGAGCTGGCATCTGCTCGGTCTCCTCCACCTCTGACCTGGACACAGGGTGCGGGCGAATTATAAGCTTGTTGGTCTACAACAGGATACACTAGCCTCACATGATAGCGCTACCTTATGTCAGGCCACACTTTTGTTATCCTCTTCCTTTCTTCCCCCCCCTTCCTCGTGCACGCGTGCCTCCACCTATGCAGGAATTGCCACCTATGAACATTCATGCGTGCACATTTGGGGTAGCAGGAGGGGACTGGGTAGGTACTGGGGAATTCTCTGTAGCCACAAGTGCCGCCCCCTCGGCCCGCCCTCGCTCGCACAGTGGCGGCCTTGGAGCTCGCGCTCGAGGTGCCGAACGATCCCATCGTGAAGCTCCTGACAGCGCCTCGCCATCCCGAGGTGAGAGTCCTGGCTCGACGCCGGCGTGGCCCCCCAGAGAGGACGGTCCGAGTCGTGGCATGGGGCTTGGCGCAAGTCCGCAGGCGGGCGAAAGCGCCGATGCACGACCTAGCTGGCTACTTGGGGGCTGTTTCTGCGAACCGACCCCAGCTTCTACCGCTTCCAAGACGTAATGGCCCTGCCACGCAGGGTGGGAGCAGCTCTGAACCCCCCGTGGTCATTTTAGACCACTGGTCGATTGGAGGACGGAAGCTGGGGGTTAGGATATTTATGACGAGGATATTACGGGAAACCCAGATGCTCCCACGTGTCCCCGCTTCCCGCTCTTTGTCTCCCTGCGCTTCTGAGGGTGACGCTTGAGCACGGGCTGAACGTACGCTTCCCCTCCTCTCTCCCTTCCTTTTCTCTCAAGGTGACCTCGTCACGGACTGAGCGTGGTTGAGTCTGGGTTCCCTCCTCCTCCCCTTCCTCCCTCTGAGTTCGGAAGAATGAAGTCGGTGGACCTTTCTCCCGTCCTTCTCCCCCCTGTTCTGAGCGAGAGGCGCTCCCAGGCGTGAAGTGCTCTGCTCGCCTGTGGCTTTTCCTCGAGGATGGGGTGGGAGGGAGGGAATTAAAGGTGGAGGGAGAGAGACAGCACGGGCGCGTGCGCCCGCGGGCCGACGCCGGTGGCCACAACTGGGCGGCTCGGCGGGCTCAGCGGCCAGCAGCACGCGCATGCAGCCAACAACGAACACAGCACATGTGCGTAGCACCAGCAGCAGCAACAGCAGCATCAGCAGCAGCAGCAGCAGCAGCACCAGCAGCAGCAGCAGCAGCAACCAGCAGTTAGCACAACCACTGATGCAATGCACAATGGTTTCGTTGCCCGTTCTTCATTGGCATGCCGATGTTGGGATTCACTCTGATTGTTCCGATGAAGAAGAGGAGGAGGAGGAGGAGGAGGAGGGGGAGGAGGAGGAGGAGAAGAAAGAGGAAGAGGAAGAGGATGAGGATGAGGATGAGGAGGAGGAGGAGGAGGAGGAGGAGGAGGAAGAGGATGGGGAGGAGGCGGAGGAGGAGGCGGAGGAGGAGGAGGAGGCGGATGATGAGGAGGAGGAGGAACCTCCACTGATGTGCGCGCATTTAATGAATTCCTTATGGCTGCGCTGCGCCGTTGAGGCAACCGAAGGGCGCCAAGGGGGTCGCGAGAGCGCCCGCCTTCTTGAGCGCTGGCTTCAATTCGTCGGGCAATCCACCCATCTTCTTGCTGATCTTCAACATCAGCTCCTCATCCTGTGGACCATTTGCAGGGGCCGCGTGCAAAGAGATCATATGGAGTAGCGGGAAAACAGGTGGCGACACAAGCATGATGGAAAGAGGGGGAGAACGCTGGGGACGAGGTATGTTTGCGCGGGACCCTATGTGGATGCGAGAACGACAGAAGCTGTTCCCCCGTGTTCGATATGATAAGCTTCCGTCGTGGTCAAAGATGCAATCTTCCACCTAGTTTCCTCGGGAACACCCAAGAGCACGATGTTCGACCTCGAAGATCTGGCAATATGCATCCTATCGGTGGCTTTGGTAATCTGTCTCTGGCTGCCAGTAGCAATTACACTTCTTGGAACCGCGCTGGACCACCCCTCTCTGGTGCGCGGAACGCGCCAGGGCGGCGTCGGAGGCGACGCCAAAATGGGGTCCAGCTCAAAAGCGGCGAACATATCTATATTCACGCCATCGCGACCTGGCTTCTGGGGTGCCGTGGATACGCGGTCGTATGGGTATTTTCTGTGCAAGACACCATCGAAAAAATGCCCCGCATCCAAATGGTGCAGCCCAAGAGCCCGACCCGATATGAAGATCTACTTCCACCAGCGCCGTTCCAAGGAATGCGCGCGGATCTCCGGCAGTCTGTGTTTGCGTTGGCTTTTCTTCGTCGAGCACCGCCATTATGATACCCCCGACGTCATGTTTTTTTATAACGTCGACCTCCAGAGGTCTCGACCCATTCCCTGGGATCAATAATTCGGCTTTGCGGAACACGCGATTCTCCGCCCGCTGTTCGTCACCGCCACCGTCCGCCGCCGCACATCGCAGAGGGCGCAGCGCGAGGGCACCAGACTCCCCTTGGAGTCCCTCAGGGTGCCCGAGGGGGTCGGGGACTCTGGGCTCCCTCCCCTTCGACAAGTCTCGCATGCCCCCCAGGGGCCAGGCTCGTGACACTGCCGGCGGCGCGCGCAAGGAAGGTGGCGCGAGGAGGGTGGCCTTCCAAGGAGGAGGCGGAGGGTCGACGAAAAAGAAAGCAAATGGGCTTCTTCGAAGCTCTCCCGGCTACCAAGGGGCCCTCTTAGAAGCACCCTGGCCCCTCAAAGAAGGTTCCCGCCTCCTTAGAGGCCCCCCGCATTGCTTCGAAGGCCGCCTCCCTCGCGCCAACACCGCCTGCTCGTCGACAGCACTGCCTCAAGGGTGGGCCGAAGAGGCAGGGGCGCAAGGGCACGCACCCTGGCAACGCCACCTCGCCCGTGTCATGAGCGGCGGCTGCCACCGTATTGAGGGAGGCCGAGAGGGGGGGCGGGGGCGAGACTGGCTCAGGAGCAAGCAGGCCGCCCCCGCCCCCCCCCGTCGTCCGCACCACACGTCACTCCGCTGGGGGGTCACTCGGCCTACTGCGGCGTCCGAACCGATCCTCGCAGCCCTTCGCCGCCGCTGCCCCCCCTGGCGTGCGCTGGGCAGAGGCCGCACGGCCCCCGCATGGGGCGCCCGCCGCGCCCGCGGGAGAGCAGGGCGCGAGAAGGCGGCGCGAGGCGTGCGCGGCTCGCGTGCGTCTGGCCGTTCTCGTGCCCTCGCCCGCGTGCAGGAGGGGGCCCAAGATCATCCATGGGCATCCGACTTACTAAAGGGGCCCAGCGACACACGAATGAATAGACACTCATCCCAGGATTCTCGATACTTTCCTATAGTTTCTGGGTTTGCGTCTTCCCCCCCACTTCTCATATTTTCCCATCTGTGTCTGTGTGTTTTCCCCCTCCTCAATTACGGCCAGGAGCTTTTGCTTAGGGTGTCGCCCTGGCGGCCCCGGCGTCACGCCATGCCCTTGCAAATGGACGGCGTGTCGCTTCGCTCCGCGGGGCGGGAGGCTCGGGAAGGCTCGGGACGTTGAGGTCTGGGGACTGGGTCATGGACAGCGCGTCGCGCCGAAGCGTAGTGGGCCAGAACTGGCGGAGCGACACGCCATCCAAAAATTCCGGACCGTATCCAGAGCAGACCTGGTCTGGGTAGGGCCCTGCCTGGTGTCCCCCACTGCTGGGGTTCCAGAAACCCTTCACCCAAACATGCTGCCATCTCTTGGGGGCGCACCCGTTACTCCCGCCAGCTTCCGCCGGCCTTCCGCCGAGGAAGAGGAACCGACTCCTTCGATCCTCGAAAGGCGCAGCCCTTTCTGGAGAGCCTCAAACATTTTCCGCTGCGCGTCGTCCTGACACCCCAGGCAGAAGCGGGGTCAGACTGTTGCGGGAGCGCGCGCCACACACACCATGCTGACCGTCCCGCTGATGCTTCGCGCTGGCGTTTGACAGGAGCGGCGGGGTAATGGTTCGACAGATCTCCCGATGTGCGCGGCCACGTGCACTGGCGCACCTGGCGCTCTCTGCGCGCGTCGCACACGTGGCGCACCAAGTACGCCTGATCCAGAATAGCTCCTGTTTCAAGAGAGTACTGGGCAATATCTACGTGGGAGGCCAGTCCACAAGAAACCTCCCACAAGAAACCCGACCCTGAGACCCCAAGACGTCCATTGATTCTCTTGATGTGGGAACGTCACGCTTTCCACAGCAAAACAATCGAAACCCAAGAAACCCAAGGCACCCTGGAGGCAAGCAGCGTGTTTCTTGGCATGGGCCCCCACTGTACGTGGGGCAGAACGTGACCCTGGAGAACTCGAGCTCTGGGCAACTCCTGCGCGACAGCGGGAGTTGCCCGGACCAGGAGCGATCTCTGACCGCCCCCTCTGCCCCGATAACTCGGGGCTCTGCCCTCCCCTCTCCCCTCCTCGTCCTCGTCCTCGTCCTCCTCCTCCTCCTCCTCCCTCTTTCGCCTCATCGCTCCTCCTCCTTCTCCTCCTCCTCCTCTTCTTCTTCTTCCTCCTCCTCCTCCTCCTCCTTCTCACCTGACGCCTCGAGCGAATTTCGAGGGCGTGCATGTACGTCGCCGCGCCTGTGCCTGCGCCCGCGCACCAGGATTGGGCCAAGGCCCGTCCCTCACCCTGGCGGAGAGTGGCGCCGATCCAGCCCCTCGGCAGCGAAGGGGCCATCCAACACACTGGCGCCGCTGTCTGTGGTGTGGTTTTCCCGAGCGGCACGGCCGGAGCGTACTCGTCTGAACGCCGTGCCATGCGGCCGCAGGGCTTTCGTCCCACACGTTCGGCGCATTTCGTTTTGGGTTGCTCCATGGGAGGGCGATAGAGCTCGGGGGCGAAGGAACGCAAAAACCTGTCGTGACCCCTCTGGGCCCCAGAGGGCCCCTGGGGTGCACGAAAGGTGCACCTTTCTTGACTCATCGCGCCCCCATTGCGCAACGCCCAAGCCTCGAGCAAAAGTCGAGGCGGCCGGCTTGTCGCCCGTGCTCTGAGTGCGGGGAGAGGCTGGGCGTCGGGCCTCTCGGGGCGGGCCTCAGAAGAGCCTCGGGGCGAGCCGCCGGCGCCGCGCGGAGGCGGTCGGGAGGTCCGGGGGTGGGGGCCCGCGCCGAGCGAGCAGCTCGAAGCGCAGGATGACCAGCGCTCGCCACGGACGAGAGGAGCTCGGCCCTCCACCTCCTGCTTTTCCTCCTGCTTTTCTTCCTCCTCCTCCTCCTCCTCCTCCTCCTGCTCCTCCTCCTCCTCCTCCTCCTCCTCCTCCTCCTCCTCCTCCTCCTCCTCCTCCTCTCAGCACGCCAGCACGGATCAGGCATCCGTGGGTCTGGCGCGTGGGCACCAGGTCCACGCACGGCTCGGGGAGCACGCACCCCCCGAAGAGGTGACCGGTTGCGCGCCTCCTCTGGCGACGGTGCGCGCCGATGCTGTGTGGAAGCGGGGCCCGTCGCTGTAGTCCACGCGCCTCGGTCCGTGTCTGTGCTTCCTCGAGCCTGAGCTCCTCCCCCTCTCCCCTGCCCTCCTCCGTCCCCTCTTCCACTCCTGCCAGGAGCCCTCGTGCGCACAAATATGGCTGGATTCACGTCTGGAGAGCAGGGAAGCCACGCGCCGTGTGCACACGCGGAGGGCTGTCGTGCAATCTCGTGTCCAACTCTCGCCCAGGCCGTCCACGTCACGTGTTTCCAGCCGACTGTTTCTTGTGCTTGAGGAGGAAGGGACCGCGTTCACATAACACGATGCGACCTCAACCGCTGTGCGACCCAGAAGGTCGCCAGGAATCCAACTTAATGGTACGTCTCCACTCACTTCAACGGGAAGGGGATCCCTACAATCTCGGCCTCATCCGTGCCTCACTTCGGCGGCACGCGCTGTTCAGTGCGGCTTTTACGACAGTGCCACTGCCGAAGGCCTGCCAGCACAAGACACCTTCGCGGCTGCTGCGCCACGGTGCGGGTGCGAAACGTGTCGCAGATCCGTAGATCTTGCACGTGGGCACCAGATCCACGGACTGGGAAAGTGCATCCCGAAACACGAGCTAGTGCCGCCTGATTTGGCGACGGAGCCCGCCGATTCTGTATGGAAGCGGGACCTGTCGCTAATTCACGCGCCTTGTTCCACGTTTGCGTTTCCTCGAATCGTGCTCCTCCTCTTCTCATATCCCACGGCCGCGCCGATTTCGTATTGAAGCGGAGCCCGTCGCTAGTCCACGTGCCTGAATCCATGCCCGCGCTTCCCAGATCTGCGCTCCTCCACTCCTCAAATCCTACGGCCGCGTCGATTCAGTATGAACGCGGGGCCCGTCGCTAATCCACGTGCCTGAATCCATGTCCGCGCTTCCTCGATCTGCGCTCCTCTAAAAATTTGTGTTTTCAATCTTTCTGGTAACGGTCGTTACACGGGGAAAGGGGGGGATGGGCAGGGGGGATGGGCCCCTAGGTAAAGGTAACGTGTGGGCGGTGGGGCACGTCGGGGCGCACTGCGATCGTCGTAGTATGCGCGCGAGCACCACCATGTGTGTGTGGGGGTTCAGGCCGGAAGCGGGACGGATCCCAA